TAAAAGTAGAAACTGGCTTTGACATTCTACATGGCCTTAAAGAGCCAACGTTTGGGAGACCGCATGGACTCGCCACTTTACTGGGAGAAAACGCCTTGAGACTCACCTTCTTACAGACGCATGGTTTAGAAACACCCACTCCAGCATGTTAGAGATAATAGAAACACAACACTAAAACCACCGCTCATTCCACTCGTCGTACAAGGTGCCACGGTCATGCTTTCTGACTTTGGATTCATCAGATAGACCATGGAGGGATGAACCAGAGAAGGAACACGACAAATGAGCATTGTAAATATAGAAGCAAATAAGCCCCGGGCATTTGTTGGTAGTGGTGAGAGACCGCTGGGTGTCATATTTGGCCCCAGTGAGGCCGCTAAGTAAATCCGCTTTGATCAGTCCAGGATTTGACATTTCAACTCTCTCATCCCCTGAACAACCCAGGATCCTGATGAAATAGAACTCCAACTGACCTAAGTCAAAGGTCTTTTCAAAATACTGATGAGCTCGGGACCAGCAGGTGGTGTTAGATGCTGGCCTCTCACATGGCCCACTGCAGTTCAAGTCCTGGACCCAGTGGCTTGAAACTCATGCCAGGCATGTGTGTGTGCATGCCTCAAATCCTGAGATGAGAATGGAATAGGAGGGATTGTGGTGTGGCCACCCTCCCTGGGTGTGTGTGTGTGTGTGTGTGTGTGTGTGTGTGACTTCTTTCTCTCTCCTGTGAGCCCATGTGCCCTATGGCAAAAACTTTAAAACATCAACAAAACCCACAAAAAACTCGAGATATGCTCCCATTGTCCAATAAGGAGACAATGTGAGCATTAAGGATGTGAAATACATCAAATAAGCTGAAATCCTTGAGTTCATAATGACATGTAAAAAATATTGATCGCCATTGGGAAATGGTATAAAACCAATATATTCTTGGAAAACTTGTGAATAAAGGAATCTAACAGTAGGTGAAGGGAAGTCTTCTTAATACAAATATTTCAGCTGATATATGAAGAAGGAATAGAGAATTAGGAGATCACTATTTTATAACCCTTAATGAATTAATGAATCATCAATGGCTGCTAATATCATTAAAAAATTACCCCCTCCCCACTATGTGCCTTCTGATGGAAGAGTAGAATAAAATAAAAATTTACCCAAAGCAAAAAGCTGAACTGAATACAAATATACTAGACCCAACCACCAATTTTCAGGAACAAGGGATGACAGAGGAACGTGGTAAGTAACACAGTCCTTGGGGAATTCTGAGGAAAAAAGGGCACAATTCCTCAAACAAATGAATTGCAAAGAAAATAAAAAAGAGAGCGATGGAGGGAAACCCATGGGATAAAAGAAACTTCCTGAGACCCATTATCCAACTATAAGGTGTGGATTCAAACAATCTAAAAACCTTTTTAAAATATTGATGAGTTAGTTGCAAACTTGCAACGCTGGTGGGGCGTTTGATGATTTTTAGGATAACTGTTAGCTTTTTAGGCATGCTAAAGGTATTATGGTTTTCTTGAACAAGTTTTTAATTTTTTTAATGATATGAATTGGAAATATTTCCAGATAAATGGTATGATATCTAGAATTGGCTTCAAAATAATAGGAGGGACGGAGGGGTGGGCTAGAGTATTGATAAAGCAGAGTTAGCCATGGCCTGATGAGTGTTGAAGGAGGGTCAGGGGCTTAGGGTAGTTCCATATTTATAATAGAAAAAGTTAAACAGAATTCATTGGCTAATCTATCTGCCACCCTCTTTTTAATTTGCTAGAGGGTATGTGTGGTGTCAGAGAGAGACAGAGAAAAAGGGAGCACACAAATGGGCAGTGGTCACAATGCGGTCCCTTCTCCTCCATTTCTCCATCCTGTCAGGATTGGGGGCATGTGGGCCTGTGGATCTGGTGTGTTTCTCTAACTGACTCTTCTCAGACTCAAACTGCAGTTAGCCATGTGCGATGCAGCTCCCTTAACTGCCATGGAGCTGGCTCTGTGCCTTTCTTTTCTTTTAAACACACTCATTGTTATTATTAGTGTAATATTAAAGTCTCACTTGGTTAATCTATCCAGACATTTCATGGGAAATTTGGAGTCTGGCTTGGTAATTGGGAAACTTGGATTTGTTACTATTTTTTTTTAATCTAACATATAGTTATTGTACATGATTGCAGGGTAGGATGCAATTTTTCAGTACAGTGATTGGATCAGGGTGAATAGTATACCAATCATCCCAACTGTTTGTCATGACTTTGTGTTGGGAACATTCCAAATTCTCTTTTTGGACTATATATTGTTTTGTTAACTACTGTATTTTATAACCCTTGATCTTGTTCCTCTGATCTATCTGTAATTTTATGTCCATTAACTCAGATTTCTCCATCACCCATCCTTCCCTTCCCAGCCTGGAATAGTCCTCTTATTCTCTGCTCCTATGAGGTTGTCATTTTCAGTTTCCACAGGAGTGAGAACATATGGTATTTCTCTTTTTGTGCTTAGCTTGTTTCACTTAACATAATGCCCTCCAGGATCACCCACATTGTCTGGAATGACAGGCTTTCATTCATTTTTAATGGCTGAATAGTATTCCATTGTGTAGACACACCACATTTTCTTTATCCATGCACCTGTTGTTGGACACTTAGGGTTGATTCCATTATCGCAGCTATTGTGAATAACGCTGCAATAAGCAATGGGTGTAGATATTTCTTCTGGACATGCTGGTTTCCTTTCTTTTGACTAGATGCCTAGCAGTGGGATTGCTGGCTCACAAGGTAGTTTCCTTTTTTTTTTTTTTTTTTTTTTTTTTTTTTTTTAGTTTTTAAAGAAACTCCATATCATTTTCCATCATGGCTGCACTCATCATGTAGATTCTCGCCAACAGTGTAAAAGAGTTCCTCTGCAGCTGCCAACATTTGTTATTTTTCGGTCTTTTTGACTGTCGCCATTCTGCAATGATGTCTCACTGCGATTTTCATTTGTAATTCCTTGAGTGATTAATGATGCTAAACATTTTTTTCATATGCTTGTTGGCCAAGGGAGCCTGAATTTGAATCCTAGTTTCTGATTTACTCGTTGAGTGATTCTGGAATTTCAGCTCTCTGGGTTTCTCTGTACTCCTTTGGGAAATGAGATGCAGGGATGATTTCTGAGATTTTGCTGAGAGTTGATTCTTGCAGTGATAAAGAGATTTGGGTCCTGCAGTCTGAATGTCTGCTTGGAATCCCAGAGTATCCACCGGTAGATTTTCTTAATCCCTTAGATTTTCATCTCCTGGATTCTTAACATAAAAATTATAATGAACACTTACCTCTGAGGGTTGTTGTGAAGATTAAATGAACTATTTCACACATTTACTCCATAAACCCTGAGCATCTGGTCTCCAGCCCTGGGATGGCATGTGGTGAAGTGAATTCACAAGGGGTGGGCTGCATTTAGCAAAGGGAGAGCCCAGAGGGTACAATGTAGCAATTTGACCAAGAGCACTTTGAAGCAAGGTGTGCTGCTACTTTCACTCGGTTGGTATGGGAAAGTCTCAGAAGCAATGCCTGAGACCCATTTAATTAAGGGGAAGCTGCCTGCCCTAGATGGTCTATGCAGCGGTGGGTCTCAGTCCAGGTGATTTCAGCCCCTTAAGGACACATCAGGCAATGTCGAGGGATTTCTGGCTGCCGCATCTGGAGGGGTAGAGGCCAGGACTGCCTCCCAATAGCTTACAATGCAGTGGACAGTCCCCACGCTGAAAATGTAACTGTTCCCATCTATATCAGTGGTGGTGACATTGAGAAACCCTGATACAGGGTCCTGCAGGAATCAGAAAGTAGCTTGCTGTGTTCAGGAACAACTGTAAATCCCTCACTGCTGAGTGAAAGAGGAGGAAGTGAAAGAGGTGTACTGAGCTACACCGACTACGGAGCAGTTTGGGGAGCACGATGAGGAATCTGGAGCTATCCTACAGGCAGTGGGCAGCCCTTGGAGAGTTTTAAGCAGGGGAGCAGGAAATCCATGTGAAACGCTTTGCACATACGAGCGTTGAGTAAATCTTGTCTGTAACTAATCACCCTTGCCATCCCTACTTTGCAAACCCCAGCGGCGACCCAGGCCTCAGCGCGGCCGCAGTGACTCCTCCT